CACTCTATCACTTGAGCCATACCTTCACTTTAAGCTTCTTGCTAATTAATTGGGAATAAGAGATTCCTGGGCTTTTCTGCCTAAGCTGGTTTCAAACTGGGGATCCTCAGATCTCAGCCTCCTGAATAGCTAGGATTATAGACATGAGCTACCAGTACCTGGCCAATATTGTTTAATTTTAAATAACAAATATCATCCGCTGTAACCCCCTTTTACTAGCTGTCAAGACCTAGAGACCAAGCACACCTCCCCCACCCCCGCAAGCCACACAGCTGGTGAGTGGTAGAGCACTAGACCAGAAACCAGATCTCACCCGTCCCCACCACCACACCATGTTGCCTTCCCAACCTGTTCTGAACCAGGTTCTAGCCTCCAGGAGTCTACCATCTCCTGACCCAGCTCAGATGCCTCCCTCCTTTGCAGACCAGAGCCGTTCACAAAAGCCAGCTGTCCATGATGATCGCCATGTTCTGCATTTGTGCTGTACAACACAGACATGTGTCCCATTCCACTGTCAGGGAGATATGGCCATTAACAGAGGGAGAGGAAGTCTGAGGGGGCTTCAGAGAAGCAGTGAGAAGTCAGGGCGGAGCTGGGAAGAATCACAGCAGGGCCTCAGAATAGGGTTTGACATGCTGGGGGGTTGGGACCTTCTTTGTTAAAAACCATGGAGAAACACCGAAGGACAAAAGGTCTTTTTTTTTACATGGTGGGACTGGGACTTGAACTCAGGGCATGGGTACTATCCTTTAGCTTTTATTTTTGCTCAAGGCTGCTGATCTACCACTTGAGCCATCGCTCCTCTTCTGGGTTTTCTGGTGGTTAATTGAGGTAAGAGTCTCACAGACTTTCCTGCCCAGGCTGGCTTCAAACAATCATCCTCAGATCTTAGCCTCCTGAGTAGCTAGGATTACAGGTATGAGCCACCAGTGCCTGGCTCAAAAGGTTTCATCGAAGCCTCCGTGGGCTGCAAAGGAAGCCATGGGTCCCTGAGCTTTACAGCGCTTCCTAACACTCCTGCAATGCTGTCTCTCACCATTATCACCATCCCACACAAACATGAGGCTACTCTGGGCTTGGAGCACCTCTCCCTCTCCTGGCCTGTCAGCTCTTCCTCCTCCCTAGGCCTCTGCCCTTTGTCCCCTCTGGCAAGGTGTCTTAGACATCTCCACCTGGGTTGGTGCCTCCTTCATGTGTCTGGAACCTGTCTGGCCTGGTGCAAAGAGAAGTCCTCATCTCCCTGTTGCTAACAATTTCCTCATTCTGGGCCTCGGTGCTTCCCAAATCTATATTTAGCTCTCCAGTTCCCAGCTCTGGATCCTCAGAAAGTCCTATAACCCAGCCTCAGGTTGTTCAAAGGCCCACAGACCCCATTCCCAGGATTGGGGATCGTGGCAAGAGTTCTACAGCTTTGGGACAGCCCTACTCAAGGGAAGATCTGCGAGAAAGGAAGCCAGACATGGACCAGCCAATGATCATAGGCGTGGACAACACAGACACATTCGGGAGAAGTAGTGAGGGGTGGACAGAACTTGAGGGCATCATCTGGGAAGACTTCCTGGAGAAGAAGCTCATCTTCCCATGGTGCCCTACAGCGAGGCTAAGATTGTCCCCTGCAGACTTCAAGCCCAGACCTGGCTCTCCATAATTCTATCATGTCCAGAGCCAGAGCAGACCAGCATGTTCTCACTGGAACATTCATCCAACAGGTGTGTCTTGCCGTCCTGCCTTATGAAGTCTGCCGCTCCACAGACCAGGCCTCAGGGAGCAGGGCAGAGGAGGCAGAGAAACTATGACACAAGGATGCCATTCCCATCAGCCATCCAGGTGGGGGTTCAGCCCAGATGCTTCTCTTCCCTCAGGGCCAAGGAACAGGACAGCCCAACCAGGCCTCTGAGTAGCAGGAGACTGAGAAGGACGGGCAGACAAGAGGCAAGACAGAGAGACCACAACCCCAGGAACAAAGAGATGAATGAAAGCAAGGAGAGACAGAGTCAGAGGTCCAGGAGGAGGAATTTGGAGGGAGAAATGGGAGGACAAAGGAGAAAAAGAAAGGAGAAAGCCGCCCTGTGTTGACCACTAATTCTAGGAGATTCCGGGTGTCCACTCAGGCCTCCTCCTCCTCCACCCCTCATCTCCCGCCAGCCCTCCACTCTCTGCCCTCTTTGCCTCCTAGGTGAATGGGATGATGTCTTGTTCTCTCTCAGTGACCTGGGGACTGGGAACATCAAGGAGAGATGTGGGGTAAGGGAAAGGAGACTGCCATTTCTGTCTCTAAATCAAGGAAGGACTAATCAGAACAGGTCTTCAGCAATCCAGAGATACACAAAATGCCACACAGGCTGGTCTCACCTGAAGCTCCAGGTGAGTGTTAGTATAAGCAGGAGGGAGCTGGACAATAATGTAGGTTTTCAAACATCCCAGAGAGACTGAAAATATCACACACACACACACACACACACACACACACCATCTCATCTCCCATCCCCCATCCTTTACTCCCACAAACTTCCTGCTTTAGGTGCAGTACCCTAGGGGTGCAGCTACTCACTAAGGCCAGGAGAGAGTCACACTTGGGGTGTTCAGTGAGGGTGGAGGTCCTCACTAGTGGGGAAGAGGAACTTGCTATCAGAGATAGTAGCCTGGATCAGAAGACACACCCTCCCACCCCCAAGGGGTAGAGGCCCATATGGGAGGCTCTGGGGAAGGGAAGCGGACATGGACAAATAAGGAGAAGGGAGATGGAGGCAGGGCTGGGCAGTCCGCAGAGTTTTGTTTATTTTGGGCTTTTTTGCTGCTCTTCCTGTTTAGCAGCCAGAGCTAAGAAGGTCAAGGACGTCTTTATGACTGCACTGCTGGGCAGGAGAAGAAGCAGCAGGAAGGCCCCATATCTCTGCCAGGCCCAGGTGGCCCACCCTCGATTCTACCATGGAAACCATGACACCCCATCTAAAGAAAGTCTCTAAGTGTTCAAGCCCTAGAAATAAACCCCAAAATGACAGCCTAGGAACCAGAGACTTGGGAATTCACTGGTTAGCAGAAGCAAGGAAGAAATGGCAAAGGGCAGTTGGAAGCCTGGCAGAGGTGAGAGTTAGGTAGCCAGCTCAGAGGCAGAGGACCCATGGGTGAGGCCCAACCATAAGAAGCAGGAAGCTTCTTATTCTGTGCCCCGTCTTTCCTGGGGAATCTCAGAATTCAAAAGCCAGTATAAGAACTCCTACTCCAGTTGTGGGCATCCATCCATCCCTGAACGATGGTACCCTGAGGTGAAGAATGCCACCCTCCCAGCACCTCCTCTAAAGGTGAGGGTGACATATTCAGAGTCTCCCTCAAATAAGCAGTTGTAGTGGGGACAGGGGGAACATTCAGGGCATACCTGACGTAGGTAGTTGTTTTGACACCAGCAGAGCCCAAATGCCATTGTCTGCTCTCTCCTCTCCTCTCCTCATGAAACATTCAAGGGTAACCAGGGGAGGGGAGCTCTATCTGGTTGCTCTATCGGACCACATGCCATTGGGGATACCAGGCCAGGGGAGAGGTGGCAGTTGGCCACTGGGTTGAGGAGGCAGTACATGGCAGAATTAGAGTAAGCCAGACACCCAAAAGGACCTGGCCACCCACTCCAGCAGCAGGTATTGGGAATCAGTATCAGGATGGACCACAGAACCCCCAAAATGTGTCCTCGTGAACTAGAAGTGCTCACATGTGGGAAACTGGTAGATTGAGGACCCAGGCCCACGGTGGGTGATGCGACTGAGAAAGCGGCCCCCTTTCAGGAGTTCCAGCTTCCATCTTGGACCCTATGCGTCTCTCCAGGACAAGCTCTCCTCTCTGCTCAAGGGTGGGATGCCAGGTGCAGAAGGACAGGCTGGGGGACCTTCTTCAGTCCAGGAGTCCATCTTCTACTTCCTCTGCATACTTCCTATAAAAGAAGTTAAACGAACTAGAGAAAGCAGGGGAGACGGGTCGGCACCGGGGCAAGCCAGGTAGCAGGAAGTGTTTTTCTACCCAAAGAGCAAAGCTCCATGTACCCAGCTCTTGCCATCTCTGCTCAGGAAAATGCCTCAGACCATGGTAGGCTCCTTCCAGTAAGTTCCTTGCTGAGTTTAGTAACCTGCTCCAGGTCCCTGCAGTGGTGAGCTGCTAACCTGGGTCTTGAACCCAACCTTGTTTGTCCAAAGTGTGTGGGGAGGGGGGATGGGGACAGGACTCTTGGTTTTGACCATCTATTTTGTGTTAGCTCCTGAGATAGTAGGGTACATATAGCCAGCCAGGCAGGCAGGCAGGCAGGCAGGCAGGAAGGCAGGAAGGCAGGAAGGCAGGCAGGCAGGAAGGCAGGAAGGCAGGCAGGCAGGCAGGCAGGCAGGCAGGCAGGAAGGAAGGCAGGAAGGCAGGAAGGCAGGAAGGCAGGAAGGCAGGAAGGAAGGAAGGAAGGAAGGAAGGAAGGAAGGAAGGAAGGAAAAACCAAAGAGACTCTTTGGCTACAAGAAAAAAAGTAATAAAAATGTTGTTTTCCTGTGCCCGGTTGGCGCGGTGCCCGGGACAGCTGCCCTGCACTTAGGAGCTCAGGGCTGCGCTTGCCTCATCTGTTCCAGAAGAAGTATGTGAGCCTGATACGTCACCGGTCAGGTATGCCGTGAGGTCTGAAGCCACAAGCTCTCTCTTTCCTTGCTTTTAAGTCTGCTTTCTTCTTGTCTCCCATCCCTGCCCCACTCAGCCCGGCAGCTTTGGTCCCCTTCTCTGAGATTAAGGTTTGGCTTGGATTAGGGGGTAAAGAGGGAGGCTATGGCCCCCCCAGCAAGGCAGATTCTCCCCCCCCCCACGTACCAGGGAGGCAGAAGGTGTGTGGTGCTGGGGGAGGGGCAGGAGCCTCACGTCATCTAACAGGTTGGTCGGGCTGGGAGGCGTCCCGCCCTCCTGCAGCTAATGAGCACTGTACAACAGGTGTTTGTGCCTCAGTCCCCAGCTTGTCCTGGCTGTGACAGGAGGTAGCTGCCTGCCACCTCTCCAAGGCTTGCTTGTTCACCCCAGGGCCCTCCCGCTCCCAGGCCGGGGGGGCCACCATGGCCTGCCGCTCCTGCGTCGTTGGCTTCAGCAGCCTCAGTGGCTGTGAGGTGACTCCTGCAGGCAGCCCCCGGCCTGGGGCCTCAGGATGGAGCAGTTTGGGGGCCTGTGGACCCAGCTTCAGTTCCCGCAGCCTCACAGGCTGCCGGCCAGCTGGCACTATACCCCAGGTGACAGTCAACCCCAGCCTCCTGGTACCCCTGGATCTCAAGGTGGACCCAGCCATCCAACAGCAGAAGAACCAGGAGAAGGAAGAGATGAAGGTCCTCAATGATAAATTTGCCTCCTTGATTGGCAAGGTAAGCAGGGGACCGGAAAGGTGCCAAAACAGAAGGGCTGCCAGGCCAGGGCAGGTGGCTGAGCATCACTCTCTGAGCATCACTCATCAAGCCCCACCCCTAGAGCCAGCCAATTGGGAGGCAGCATGACAAAGCCAGCAAGCGAACCCTGAATAAAGAGATGGAGAGGGATGCCCCTGGTGTCTGAGGAGAAATGGACTCCCAAGAGTGTTTAGCTATGAATCTGCTTCATGGCCTGTGGGCATCCTACTTCCAAAGTAGAATGGAAGAAGGCAAGGGAATGCTTCCTACAGGAAGGGCTTGTGGAGGGCTCTCCTATCTCCAGGGCAGTGGAATGAAGGAGATGACATGGAGCCTTATCCTCCTGTTGGTTTCTCAAGCCCCCGGCCCAGCTTCCCAAGGCAGCAAGCAGAGCAGGCAGGACTATGGAGGAGTGAGTTTGGGGCTGCCGAAAGGAGACTTGTTGAAGGCTGTGGTAGGTAAAGATGCATTGGCGTCAGAAGATAGGAATGCAAGGGATGGAGGCTTCTAGGTAGAACCAAGTAGCCAGCGGGGTCTCCTTGTAACCTGCCTGAGTAGATCAAGAAGTCCCTAGTCCCTTGGTCCCCATACTTTCTAGACTCTGCTTCCCATCAGTGCCAGTTTGTCTGGGGCTCTTCTATCTCTAGCCCCAGGGCAAGAGAGCTCCAAAGGAAGTCCTGATTTCCTCTCAAACCTCCTCCCCATTCACCTCCTCTAAGAAATTCCTTGGGTCCAGCCTTCCCAAGGTTCCATGTGATCCTCTCAGGTCCACTGTGTCCTGTCCTGCCCAACAGTGGGAATCAGGAGACTGACTTCTGCATTGATTGTTTGTTATTATCTCTAATTCTCTCAAGAGCCTTATGAAAGAAGACATTTGAGGGCAGGAAGTATGGCTCAAGTGGTAGAGTGTCTGCATAGCAAGCAAAAAGCCCTGAGTTCAAACCCCAGTACCAGAAGGAAAAAAAAAAGACAATTAGCACCCATTTTACAGATAAAGGAAACTTTACCTTCCTCCTCCTCCCTGTAAACAGAAGCCCAGCCTTCCATCCTGACTCAGTCCTTGTTGTATCTTCACCTCAGAGTCTACATTCCTCTGGTTGTTGCTGGTCTCCCCGGGAGACAGGAGCTCAGGAGCTCACAGAGAGGATGGGGGAAAGCAGCATGCAGGCCCCAGGTGGGAAGTGCCTTCCCAAGGCATTCTCCACTCCAGCCAGGAGTTCTAGCTGAGACTGCTCAGTTTGCCCTGCAGCCCTGGCCAGGCCCAGCTGGGCCCAGTGCCCTGGCACTCTGTGCCTCAGGGTCTCCGTTGGAAAGTTGGATGAAGGTAGCTTGGATAGCATTTCTGCAAAGCTATTGTTTTCCAGAGTATGCAGATGGGAAAACTGAGTTCCAGAGAGGCTACAGGCCTTGTTCAAGGACACACACACAAACACACACACACACACACACACAGAGCAGTTTAGATTAGACACAAGCCAGTGGTCTCTGAATCAGGACTTTTTTTTTCTTTTTGGTCAGTAATGGAGCTTGAACTTGGGACCTGGGCACTGTCCCTGAGCTCTTTTGCTCAAGGCTAGTGCTCTAGCTCTTTCAGCCACAGCTCCACTTCTGGTTTTTGAGTGGTTAATTAGAGATAAGGGTCTCACTGGGACTTTTCTGCCCAGGCTGGCTTCAAACTAAGACCCTCAGATCTCAGCCTCCTGAGTAGCTAGGTGTGAGCCGCTGGTATCCTTCCTGAAGCAGGAATCTTGTCTTTCCCTCCACCGTTTGTGTGCTGAGACCGGAGCTTCCTGGCTCACAGCTGAGATGTCCAAACAGAGAGCTGCAGGGAGGAGAGAAGATGGCAATCCAGACGGAGCATCTTTTCCCACAGTGGGAGGCACAGAGTCCCACTGCTGGGTTGGTTTTCCTACCCTTGGGAGGCAGGGCTCTGCAGAGGCGCCTCCTTACCCGCCAAACCTGGTTAATTCCTTAAAAGGAATGCTTCACTGAGCTATGTAATTTGGCTCAGATGGGTGGCTTTTCTCCCTCGAATTGCCAGTGTTGATGTCACCTGTGCCCCCGCCGTGGGCAAGGGGTGGCAGCCAGTGGGTGTGGGCATAGGGAGGGGTCACCTAAGGATGGGGTCTTATGCACAGAGCCACGGTGATGTCCTAGAAGAATCTTAACAGAACTGGAACCTCCAAACCCTCAGCTTTGGCTGTGAGATGGGGTGCCCTTTGCAGTGGGATCCATTAAGTAGGGGTGTCAAGGGTGTATCTTTAATTGCTGAGGGTCTGTCCCCAAGGAGCCCTGGCTCCTAGGGAAGGCTAGAAAGGCCAAGCAGACACAAACAGCAGTCATAAGAGCAAGCTGTTCAACATCATTGCTGAGCTTCAAAGCTGGCTCTGCTGCTAGCTGGCTGTGTGATCTCAGGCCAATGACTTTATCTCTCTGTGCCTCCACGCACAGAGGTGAAATGGGACCCTCCATCAAACAGGATGAATTTTGGAAAGTAGCTAGAACACACCCAGCATATAGTAAGTGCTTTATAACTGCACAGGGCAAAATAAAACAAATGAGCTTGGCCCTGGAAGCTCCTAGACTCCTGCTAGCCCTTCCCAGGCACAACTCTGGGAAGGAGGGAATGGAGGGGACAGGGCATGCAAAGGGAAAAGGGAAGGTACTTGGTGAGCAGGTGTGCCCCCTGGGGGAAGGCTCGGGGACAAGATGCCGTGACTAGTACAGGGGTGCGACTCCATTCCCTTGTGGGCCCTCCAAGTCTCAGAGAGAAATCAGCTTGGGGGAGAAGGGAAGGGAAAGAAAATGCAGGGGAAGCTGGGTGCTGATGGCTCACACCTGTAATCCTAGCTACTCAGGAGGCTGAGAGCTGAGGATCACAGTTCAAAGCCAGCCCAGGCAGGAAAGTCTATGAGCCTCTGATCTCCAATTAACCACTAGAAAACCAGAAGTGGCACTGTGGCTCAAAGTGGCAGAGCACTAGGCTTGAGTGAAAAAGCTCAGGGATAGCACCCAGGCCCTGAGTTCAAGCCCCACAACCAACAACAACAAAAGATTCCATGGAATGTCTTCCATGTGAATAGACAGGCTTTGAAATAGTATTGTTTCTTGTTAGCTGTGTTTGCTCGGACACTAGTCACCTCTGTGCTGATTCCATGTGTGCTCTGCTCTGTGGGTGGCCTTGAACTCCTGCCAATGGCAAGACTGCAACTGAGAAGTGGCAGCAGGAAAGGGAAGGGAGGTGGGGGAAGGCAGTACCCACATCACCCAGCAGGGGCGCTCTTCCAGCTTCTCACTACTTACACAACAGAGGCAGAGGAGGTGGACAGATAGTGTCCAAGATCTGACTGAGGAGGCTGTGGAGAGGGAAGCAGAGGACGGTGGGAATGCCTGGGAACAGAGAGGTAGAGGCAATGCCTTCCCCTAGGCTGTCACTTCTGGACGGCCCTCAATTCGACCCCTCTGGAGCCCTCCAAGGGACTCAAAGCCTTGATTGAAGGCAAGAAATCTGATGTCCTTCCCAAAGACTGGACCCTGCTTGTCTTGGGGGCCAAAGCCTCCAGGTGGGAACCCATGGAGAGGATGGAGGGAAAGCCACAAGCCTGGAACAACATCCTAGCCCTGAGTAGAACTTGCCTTCCCAAGGCAATCCCCAACTCCAGCCAGGAGTTCCAGCTCTGGCTACTCCATTTGCCCTACAACCTTCTGGACCTCAGTTTCCTCATCTATGAAATGGGAAGGCCAGTGGATCAGATGTATGATCTCCAGATCTCTCCTAGAGCTGAAAGACAGGGATCAGACAGACCAGAGAGGAGGGGAGAGCTCAGCCGCCTCCATGGGCTGAGGGCCACTGCCTGGCACCTCTCAGTGCTGGGATTATGGGCCCTCCCTAAGTCTTTGTTCCAAGAGGGAGGAGCCTTTGTGCAGGAAAGGAACTGGGTGAGGGACAAGTTTCCATCACCACCCACTGAGACAAGAGACTGCCCCCAACTGCAGTGGGAGATAGGGGGCTACCTTTAGCCCTCCCTGACCCCTAGGCCACAAGGGCCCTCAGGTTGAAGTAGCAAACCAAATGCACATCACTTCCCAGCAGGCCAAGGCCAATACATGGAATGCTAAGACTAAAGGAAGAACTTCCTGGTGTGAAGGTTTTCCTGTTGCTCATGGGTGGAGGAAAGAGCCTCATGTCTCTGCTCTCACCCCACCCTCAGTATAAACACAGAAGAGAGCTCCTGCTTGTCAGAACAGAGGGAAGGTGGAGTGAGCAGATGCCTCCCCCCCACCCCCCACGCTCTGTCTCTCACACACACAAAAGCAGAACAGAACCCCTCCTGAGCTCCATCCCAGCTGAACCTGTTTGGCTGTGACAACAGCAGACCGACCAACCAACCAACCAACCAACCAACCAGGAGGTTTAAAGCAACTTCGAGCAGAGTACGGAACATGTACAGATGAGAGTGACAAGGCACCAATGTCACTGCCATCTAGTGTTCCTGCTGCTCTGAGTGACCCTAGATGCCCAGTGGAAGTTTGCCAAGGTTGCCAGAGTGTCTCAGAACAAAATGGAAACTGTGAGCCAGCCGGGTACTGAGATCTCAGGATTGTGGTTTGAAGCCAGCCCAGGCAGCAAAGTCTGTGAGACTCTTTTCTCCAGTTAACCACCAAAAAGCCAGAAGTGGAGCTGTGGCTCACTCGAATGGGGTAGAGTGCTAGTCTTGAGCACAAAAGCCCAGGGATAGGGGCCAGGTCCTGATTTCAAACCCCAGTGCCTGCCTAATAAAAGGAAACTGCAGGTGCTGGTGGGGTCCCTCAAGATTAGAGAAAGAGCCAGTCATCAGTGGCTCATGCCTACAATCCTAACTACTCAGGAGGTTGAGATCTGAAGATTGTGATCAAAGCCAGGCCAGGCAGGAAAGTCCAGGCAACTCTTATTTCCAATTATACTTAATTGGAAAAAAAACAAGGCCAAGAATGTAGCTGTGATTCAAGTGATAGAGCACCAGCCTTGAGCGAAATAGCTAAGGAACAGAAACCAGGCCTGGGCCCTGAGTTCAAGCCCCAGTACTGGTACAAAAATAAATAAATAAAAATAAAGAGTAAAGGGTGAAGGCCCCATGAGGGCACAGGGTACATGGTAGGCATCAGAGGGGCCTGCATGGGGAGTGTAGCCACTAGTTTGCTGCATGGACCTGCCTGGACATCACTTGACCCTCAACTTTCATCCCACCCTTCATCACCCTCTATAAAGGGAGCCAAAATGGTGCTAGCAATTGTGCTGGGGTGGCCTGTCTATTTGTCTGAGACCCTATGGAGCATCACTGGCCAAAAATCACAGCATCCATAGGACAAAAACATTCCTGGCCATTCAGGAGCAGGAATAGGCCTAGTACTCCTTCGTTCTTAGGGGCCTCCCCTTGTCCTGGGACTCCAGGATAGGGGTAGATGGGTCCCAGTCTAATGAGGAGGGTGAAGGTCAGAGAAGCAGGCCAGCCTTGAGCCTTGGTACCAGAAGGAAGGCTGATTTTCCCAGAGCTTCCTTCAGCAAGGAAGCAGATAGGACTGGATGGAGGGAAAGAGTGTGCCAAGGTAGTAGGCTGGATGTGGAAGAGGGAAGAGGGTAAGCTGGGCTGGACTGGGTTAGTTGAGGGAAGGATGGGACCCTGGATGGATACTGGTAGGTAGGATTCTAGCTACTCAGGAAAGAGGTCTAGGGATCACAGTTCAAAGCCAACCCAGGCAGGAAAATCTATGAGACTCTTTATGTCCAATTAACCACCCAAAAGCCAAAACTGGAGCTGTGGCTCAAGTGGTAGAGCAATAGCCTTGAGCACAAAAGCTCAGGGACAGTATGCAAGCCATGAGTTCAAGCCCCAGGAATGTTCACCAAAACCGAAAACAACAACAGAAAAAGGGACCTTGACTGCCTGCTGGTGGCCGGTCTTGGGTCCAGCAGGAGGCATGTAGGAAGCAGAGCTTGGGGGAGAACAGAAGAAATTGGAGCCCTCCCAATCCTGGCCCTGGAGGCAGAACTCACCCAGACAGGGCAGTTGGGTCCCAGGACCCCAGGGGTATAGCAAAAGACCAGTGACGTATGTGCTGTATTAGTTCAAAGACCTCAAGGCAAACCGGGTAGATTCAGGTCTGGTCTGGGGACTTGCTAATTTTGTGTCCTTGGGCATTTCTTCCAGCTGTCTGCCTCTGTTCCCTCATCTGTAAAATGTGCTCAGGAGAACACCTTACACCTTGGGGCGTGGCCAGCATCTAACGAGTTAAAGACAAGCACTCAGAACCAGGCCTGGCATGCGTGAGACATCACACAGCTGTGGGCACTTAACTATTCCAAGTACAGCTTAGCTTCTGCCCCCAACAGCCTTCACAGGCAGGCAGGTGCTGTCACTCCCATTTTCTAGCTAGGGAAACTGAGGCGTAGAGAGGCTGCAAGTCTGGGATTGTCCAGAAGATTAGCATGAAGGTCCCAAATAGGTTCCACCTGGCTGAGTTGTGGAGTGTTTGCAGAAACCAAGCTTGCTGTAGAGGGCAGGGCCCATCAGGCCTCTGATACTTCATGTTCTTAGGGGTCTCCCAGGGCAGCACCAGGCAGCCAGCTACCGTTTGGCTGCCACATGGTTCACATCTGGCTCCCCCTCCCTCATTGGGCAGCCCTGCCCTCCTTGGGAAGCCTTTGCCCCTCCTCCATTCCCTCCTTATCTCAACATCTCCGGCTCAGTCAGTAACTGGAGGTGCGTGCTGCGTGCTGCATGCAGTCAGCCCAGGTGGATGTACATAGATGAGCCACCACGTCCCAGAGACAACCCCCTGGGGGTGCAATAATCTGCCTGGGCCCCCTGATGCTGATGCTGATGATGGGGCCACCTCTGACTCACTCCACACCCTCCTGCTCTCGCAGGTACAAGCCCTGGAGCAGCGCAACCAGCTGCTGGAGACCCGCTGGAGCTTCCTCCAGAGCCAGGACTCGGCCACCTTTGACCTGGGCCACCATTACGAGGCGTTCCAGGGCCGGCTACAGGACGAACTGCGCAAAGTGAGTCAGGAGCGGGGACAGCTGGAGGCCAATCTGCTTCAGGTGCTGGAGAAGGTGGAGGAGTTTCGAATCCGGTAGGTCGCACCCTGTGGGTGCCATGGGCAGGGACTCCGTCAAGATAGAGCAAAGGGAAAGAAGTCATGGGACATTTGTCATCTCGAGACAGATTTATGGAAGGTGTCACATAAACCAGACGCTATCCTAAATACTGAGTTATAGCTGCTCCCTTCCAGGGAGTGACCCTTACAACAATGTGAGGCTGGCTCCCAGTTAAACCCTGGTGGTTCTTAGGCACCATTCAAGCCCACAGACCTGAGTCCAGTAGACTTCCCTCCGGAGCCTGGAAGTAGCCTGCTTGTGGCCACACTGACTGGGATGGAACTTCATGTCATTCGAAGAGCTACAGATGGGCTTCTGTGTTGCTATGACTTTGTGTTTTGATCTCAGCTAACTAGAGAGAGAAGCAGCCAGGCCAGGAATGGACAGGGGCTGGCGTATTTGAATAAAGATGCATAAAGTTCCTTACGGGGGACTAGGTGTTAGGCATTGGAATCACCTAGAAAGCAAGGAGATAAAGGAACACAGCCACTACCTGGAAGATGCTGAGCAGACAGCAGGTGGGCAGTACTGCCCAGTGGCTATGGGTCCTGGCCTAGACACTTAGAAACAGGCGTTGGTCCTCCACTCCACCCTCACTAGCTCTGTAAACTGGGACAAGGGAGTTAGTTGCTTCCTAGCTGCACCTCTGTTCCCTCCTGTGTGAAATGGAATGACACACACCCCAGCTAGCAGGAGAAGGAAATGGAGAGTTTAGCAAGTGGGGTCCAGCTGCAATAAACAGCAGTTTCCTGTCCCCTAGAAGGGGACAGAACTGGTCAGTTTTGAAGGACAGAAAAGGCCCTTGGGTGGCTCAGAGAAGGGGGTGTCTCTCTGTGAATAGGCAGCAGGCAGGGCTTCTGGGACAAGGAGACTGAGACAGAGCAGAGAAGCCATGCCCCTGTGTCCTCTTCTTGGATCTGGTTTTCTGAGAAACTCCCAGCTAGGGTGAGGGGAGGACTAAGCAGATTGTCTGCTTGTCCCCTTTTTGTGGTACAGCCTAGCCCCAAGCCCTGGCAATTGAAAGTGAGGCCTACATTCTATGGTACAGCCAGGCCAGCCTGAGGATGGGACTGCTTGTCCAAGAATCTTAGGACCTTTCCTCAAGTGCTGCCCTCTAGGGTTGTAGGAAACACACAGGGTGTCTAATCTCCCATTTTGGGCTGACCAGCTACACCCCAACTGACCACGGTTCACGAGAATCCCCAGCTCGGTTCACTAACTCTTCGTAGGTCTTTGGCCCTCTGAGGATCAGATAATGACAGAACTGGGTGTGGGTGTGTGTTTGGGGGTGGGGGTGGGGGGTCCTGGGTCCTTTTATGGCAATAAACCGAGGCCCAGAGAGGGTGGGGCTTGGCTGCAGGCACACAGCCATGCATGCTAAACCCATTCTCACCAGGTAAGGCTGCTCACCAGCCCAGCTAGACGGCGTCCATGTTCAGCAAGAGTTCTGTGCAATCGCGGCTTGTTGTTTTCACCTGGCCTGCTGCCTGGTTTCTGTCCACTGGCTGCCTGACTTGCTGGGTTAGGCTCTGGGCTTCTCTTGTGTCTGTGCATGGGGAGTCCGCACAGCAGAGGACTGGAACTAATGGCAAGAGTCCTAGGTCTGCAGGCCACCTGGGTGTGCAAAGCCTGGGGGCCCCTAGGAGGGAGCTGTAGAAATTGGGTGGAGCCCTGATGGGGAGGAGCTGCTATGCCCCGCCTCTGTTGCTATGCCCCGCCTCTGTTGCTATGCCCCGCCTCTGTTGCTATGCCCCGCCTCTGCAAGGGGATGAGATCAGCCTTGCTCCCTGAAATAAACAAGTGGTAGTGGAAGGGGTGCAGGAGTCCCCGGCTGAAAAGGGTCTGAGGTGGGGTTTGGGAGCTGGCAGGCTGGCAGAGCATTGAGGAGGAGACAGAGAGACTAAGGTGTTGCCTGTGAGGATGGAGGCTTCCAAGGGCGTGGAAAGATCAGGGATGTCCATGATCTGTCTCGTCCATGCAGAGGCCCGGCGAGAGGAAGCAAGGTGCCCAAGCCCACATAGCAACTCTGGGAGTCTGCACACATGTGTGCAAGCTGGGTCTGGTAGAGGCGGAAGGGTGAAAGGGGAATCAAATCCAATTGAGTGCGAAGCACATCGTGCTGCGAGGGCTGAGGCAGGTCCCACACCCCCGAGGAAGGAGCTTTCTAAGTCACACAAAAGGCTATGAATGGACAGCAGTAAGTCACAGACCAGCCCAGAGTGGAACCCAACATCAGGCCTCAGCCCAGAAGTCCTGCTGTGCACCAGCCTATGGATCAGGCTTTGGCCCACCTAGAGGGCCCAGGCCCTGCCAGGGCAGATCCAACCCTGGGCAAGACAACATGAGGAGGTTTCCTTTGGTCCTCACACTCCTGGGTGTACCCCCTGACTCCCCTTCCCACCTGCATTCTTCCTCAGATCTCCCAGGGGATTCTTTTGGGTGGGTCTACAAGGAACAATCTAGAAACATAGGTTTCTTTCCCCCAATGGAGGACATATTCATGGGGTGGGCAGCTACTCAGCCAAGGCCTAGTACCTCTCCTAAAGCTTTTCAGATGCCCAAGCTAAACAGAAATCAGGGAACAGGCACCATGCAATTAGAAATTACTCAGTGGGCCAAGTAACAGAACCATCTGAGGGAGAGGGAGGCAAGAAGGCCAGTAAGAAGATGCAGAGGGGCTGAGCACCTGGGGGTCCCCCCTGGCTGCCTCCCCCACCCCCCAGGCTGGCCAGGACTATGCAACCCAGAGGAGGAGGGGAGGGGAAGACAGGAGCAGGCTCACCCACCCATCTACCATTTTTGTGTGACAGGCAGCCAGTGGGTCTCCAGCTGGGTTCCCTGACCAAGGAGTTCCTCAGCCCCCAGAGTGCCCTGGGAAGCCTGTTCAGCTCAGCCCATCTCTGAGGACTGGGGAGGGGTGTGCCGGGAGCTGCCCTCCAACCCTGCTCTGAGGCTTCCTGAGGTTCTGACTGCTATGGGCAGCAGATCCTCACACATCGCCATTGTCTGAGGCACACACATCAGTAACTTAACCCAAAGCCACATGACTAGTTCCCCAAGACACCAAGACTTGAGCCCCCTGCTTCACCAGCACATCACAGACACCCTCAAGAATTTCTCTGAGCCTCCACTTCCTCATCTGTGGGAAGGAACCCGTGGGACCTGCACCCCCCTTCTCTGAGCCACCCAAGGGCCTTTTCTGTCCTTCAAAACTGACCAGTTCTGTCCCCTTCTAGGGGACAGGAAACTGCTGTTTATTGCAGCTGGGCCCCACTTGCTAAACTCTCCATTTCCTCCTCCTGCTAGCTGGGGTGTGTGTCATTCCATTTCACACAGGAGGGAACAGAGGTGCAGCTAGGAAGCAACTAACTCCCTTGTCCCAGTTTACAGAGCTAGTGAGGGTGGAGTGGAGGACCAACGCCTGTTTCTAAGTGTCTAGGCCAGGACCCATAGCCACTGGGCAGTACTGCCCACCTGCTGTCTGCTCAGCATCTTCCAGGTAGTGGCTGTGTTCCTTTATCTCCTTGCTTTCTAGGTGACTCCAATGCCTAACACCTAGTCCCCCATAAGGAACTATATGCATCTTTATTCAAATACGCCAGCCCCTGTCCATTCCTGGCCTGGCTGCTTCTCTCTCTAGTTAGCTGAGATCAAAACACAAAGTCATAGCAACACAGAAGCCCATCTGTAGCTCTTCGAATGACATGAAGTTCCATCCCAGTCAGTGTGAGGTTCCCAGGAGAGTATACAGGCGAGCACCAGCATACTCCCTGTCACATTCCCCTTCAGGGACTTCAGGGACATTTTGTTCTCCCTGCTCCCCTCTTCCTCCCCCCCCCATCCAGCCACTATAATTTTCACCCTTGTAGCCCATATTAGAAACAAGAGGTAGTATGAACAGCTGGCACCCTGTGATTCAGGGACCCAAGTATCTATAAACCCTCACTGCCCGTAGGTACCCTGCCTTTAGCCCCTTGGTGGACTGGGGGACAAGATGGCCTGAGGCAGTGTGTCCAGTCAACTGACTGCGCCAAGTCCCTGCTGTGAGGTCAGGGACTGGGTTAGGCAGGCAGGGGCTGTAATTAGCACCAGTGACTCAGGCATTCCCTAGAGAGGAAGGAAGAGGCAAATCCCACGCTGGGAGAGCCACGGAAGGCTAGGGTAGGAAGCCTGAGGCTGGTAGATGCTCTCCCACCTGAGGGTCCAAAACAAACATCTGTGTGTGTGTGTGTGTGTGTGTGTGTGTGTCTGTCTGTCTGTCTGTCTGTGTCTCTGTGTCTCTAGCGGTGTGTGTATGAGGGTTTAAACTCAGGACCTCATACTCTCACTTGACTTTTCACTCAAAACTGGCATTCTACCACTTGATCCACACCTCCACTTCAAGCTTTTAGCTGTTTAATTGGAAATAAAGGTCTTCTAGATTTCTCTGCCCAGGCTGGCCTCAAACCTTGATCCTCAGACCTTAGCTTTTTGAGTAGCTAGGATTACAGGTGTGAGTCGCCACAGCCTGCCTTGACAAAACAAATACTTTGATTAGAGGAAGAAAGCTAAAGTCAGGGACCCAAGGAGCCTGTTCCCCACCCATGGGGGGGCCTTGTGGGAAGCCTAAGATGAAATACAGAGGGCCTTGAGTAAGGAGGAGAGCAACACTTGTAGTGTTGACTACACACAGTGTGTCATATCTGCCTGACTCGATGCCCCTCCCTTATTCCAAGAGAACCCTTAGAGACAAGGAAGCCAAGCAAAGAGGGATGATCATATTTGTCTCTTCCTATCCTACCCTCCTTTGCATGATGTGATGGCCTCTCCTATCTAGAGGAGCAGAGGGAGGAGGTGGGTCTGTGAGAAAGGGGGCTGAGAGAAGGGAAGGTGTGAACCGGATGTTTGGAAGGATCTGACCCATGCACATCTTGCCTGAACCTGAGATTCTCCAGAAAGAGGTAGGGAGAGAGAAGAGAACAGGGAGCTAGTGTGAAAATAAGGGCTGCTATCAGAGAGGCTTCCAAGAGGACACAGATAGGCTTGGAGCCAGGGAGTGGGTGGGGACTGCTGGGAGGGAGGGAGAATGAGAACCAGTGTCATTGGAGAGAGGGGATTTGTCATGGAAGATCAGTGTCTACCTGGCACAGGCCCTGATTGGGTAAGCAGAGGCCTAAGCCATGCAAAGAGAACAAATCAAACCCCAAGCTCCTGCCACTTTTGCTGAGCAACCTTTTTCCTCATCTCCCCCCCCCCCGACCCGCAGGTATGAGGAAGAGATCTCCAAGCGCACAGACCTGGAGTTCACCTTTGTCCAGCTGAAGAAGGTAGCTCGGCCAGCCCACCCCAGGGCCCTCCTCTAAGCTCCCTTACCCTCTTTCCCTTAGGAGTGCCTACTTCCTCTTGTGCCCACACCCAGTCCTCTAAAAGCTTAAGTCCCATTGAGGAAAGTGAACTAAGCAACTCAAGGGCAGCGATGGGAGGGAGGGAATGAGAGAGAAAGAGGGAACAGTTTACACTAAGCAAAAGGAAAGAAATGTGCCTATCACCTGATTTGGAAGAAATGATTGTATTGTCAAAGTTTGTAGAGTTCCTAAGCTTTATGGACCATGATCACGACAAATCGCCTTGTGAAGGTTAAAGTGTGTTTGTGACTTTAGCTAAGTACCACTATCCCACATTACTGTGAAATGTATGTAATCACTTCATCTCAATAAAGAAACTTTTAGAAAAAGCTTAAGTCCCAGGAACAAGAAATGGGCACAGGCAGAGCTCAGCCTATCCCCAGCCTGCCCCTTTTCCCAGGCCCTGAGCCAGATGACCTCCAGGAACCCTCCCCTTGGTCCCTACTTTCATTCACTCCCTCTCCTACCCTGGGACTTGGCCATTCCCTGCCAGTCTCTCACCTCTGCTCCCAACCTCAGGATCTGGACGCTGAGTGTCTTCGACGGACTGAACTGGAAACCAAGCTAAAAGGCCTGCAGAGTTTTGTGGAGCTGATGAAAACTATCTATGAGCAGGTGAGTCGGGGTCAGCATCCCACTGAGCCGGAGCTGACCAACAAGAGGCACAGGGAAGGGAAGGGAGCTGTGGTTATGGCCACAACATCCTAAGCCCCTCCCTGTCCTGATATTCTATACCTTGTTATTCATTTCCTGAAACATGGGCAGGAGCTCATAGGCTGCTCTATCTGGAAGAATTACTGAGGGGGGACACAAGGGACAAGGGGCATCAGGCAAAGATCCGAAAGCTGGCCTCTACCCAGGTTCCTTGAACCACTATTATTATTATTATTATTGGTCAGTCATAGGGCTTGAACTCAGGGTCTGGGTGCTGTCACTGAGCTTTTTCACTCAAGGCTAGTGCTCTACCACTTTGAGCCACAGCGCCACTTCTGGTTTTCTGGTGGATAATTGGAAATAAGAGGCTCATGGACTTTGCTGCCTGGGCTGGCTTTGATTCGTGACCCTCAAATCTTTGCCCCTCCCTACTGCAAGCTTAGGCAGAGACCTCCAGCCCATCTTCTGTCCCTCCAAATGATTCAGGAAATGCAGACAGCAAAGCCCCAAAACATGTATTCACCTACCTCCTGAATCCTCTACTGAGCCTGGGTGAACAATGGCCTGACAAGCCCTGTGGTGCAGTAAGTACTACCCTCAAGCAAGCCCTCTGCTGGGCCCTGCACTCGACTCCCTACCCCACTGTGTGTGGAAGCTGGGGCAGAAATGTCTGTGAAACTCTAATTTCAATTAACCAGCAAAAAGGTAGAAGCAGAGATGTGGCTCCAGGGGTAGAGCACCAGCCTTGAGCAAAAAGAAGAAAAGTCAGGAGGCCCTGAGTTTAAGGCCCAGTACCAGGCATGTGCACACACACACACACACACACACACACACACACACACACACACACACACACAAAGGACCCTTCCACAAATCCCAACCAAAGAGCAAAGTGACCACCACCATCAACAAGCTGTGCTATGGCATGGCGGGCTGTCCTTCAGAGCCTCATCCTGTGGAAAGGGAGCCTAAGTTTTGTGGCTGTGTATGGACCATACACTTTTTGGCAGTCTGAGTACTCCTGGGGTGTCTGTGTGGCTGAGACCTGATTGTAGCCATGCAATCTGGCACAGCAGAGAGAATAGTCCCACACCTTGGAGCAGCCAGCAGGCAGCCTCCTGGCCATCCATGCCAGCAGACCTGCCAAGCATCCTGCCCTGACGCAGCCTAGCCAGGCTGGGGTATTGCCCAGGACTTGAGAAGTAGTTAGGTGCTACTCTGCCTAAGTTCTCAGAGAACTGGTAGAGGCCAGGTAGGCACGTACCAGAAGGCCAGTGCTTCAGAGTCTATGCTCATGGAAACTTGAAAGCTAGCAGAGCTGGCAGAGCCAGGACAGAGGGAGATAAGAGCCAGGTCACAAATAAATCAGCGATGTGATCTTGCTGGAGGAAGTGGACATTTTAAAGCGATGGTCCAGGTACTTCTCCAAGAAGGTACAAGCAAACAGAGGCCCAGCCCAAAGAGCTACACAAAGCCCCTGAGCAGCAGTAAGCTTGGTGGCAGAAGGAAAATGAGGAAGCCACGGTGCTCAGAGCAGACAGAACAGGGTGGGAGCTGTGCTGTAGGGAGATCCAGTGTGGTCTTGGGCTCTGAGGTAAGAATTTGACCTCAGTTAAAGGCGATGGGCACTGAGGGGCTACTGGCCAGGGGCAGTGCACAGGGGACTCTGGCTACAGTTTGTGCTCTAATGACAACTGGGCAGAGACAGCAATAAAGGAGGGCAGGGCCAGACCCTGGGGATTGGAGCCCTGCAGACACTCAGATCCTCAGATGCAGAGCTCCTCATGTACAGCAGACTGGCACGATTTTCAGAGAGGACCTATGCGCCTGCCTCCTCCAAATACTTTATGTCATCCCTAGATTGCTGGTAACACCTAATGCAGTGCAAATGCTATAGAAACAGTAGTAGCAACACTGAATTGTCTAGGGGAATAATGATAAGAAAAAGCAGTACTTTAACAGTGATTGATTTTGCAAGCAGCGGTGTGGAAGTCCGTGGGATATGTTTTATTTCTCTCCAGTTACCTCTGGTGGCTGATAAGGCAACTCTAGACTCTTTGCTATAAAGATTTAGCACAGGCCGATAACTGTGGCTCACGCCTTGTAATTTTAGCTACTCAAGAGGCTGAGATCTGAAGATCATTGTTCAAAGTCAGCCCAGGCAGAAAAGTCTGTAAGACTCTACTCTCCAATTAACCACCAATAGTGGAAATGTGGCTCAAGTGCTAGAGTCCAGCCTTGATTTAAAAAAAAAAAAAGCTCAGGAACAGTGCCCAGACCCCCAAGCTCAAGCCCCAATACTGTCATATACACACAAATTCACTGCAAATATCAGTCACATATGTCATTCATAAGTTTCCTAACAGCCATATTTTATATTTTACAACAGAAGCAGGTCTGGGTTTGTGGCTAAGCGGAAGAGTCCTTCCCTAGCATATATGAGACTCTGGGTTCTAACACTAAAATTAATTAATTAATTAATTATATATATATATAAACTTATGAATTTGTTATATTTGCTTATATCTTATATTTATATATAAAATTTAACAGTCTTTTATTTCAACCCAATATATCCAAACTATGATTATCTCATTGTATAAACATACTTAAAATTTAAAAGGCTATTTTATTTTATTTTTGTTAGTCGTGGTGCTGTCCCTGAGCTTCTTTTTGCTCAAGGCTAGCACTCTATCACTTTGAGCCACAGCACCACTTCCAGTTTTTGAGTGGTTAATTGGAGATAAGAGTCTCATGGGGACTTTTCTGCCCAGGCTGGCTTCAAATTGCAATCCCCAGATCTCAGCTTCCTGAGAAGCCAGGGTTACAGGCATGAGCTATTTTACTTTTTCCTCATATTAAATCTTCACAGTCTGCTCTACCGCTTGAGCCACAGCTCCAGTTGTGGCTTTTTTGGGTGACTGATTGGAGATAAGAGTCTCACAGACTTTCCTGCCTGGTCGGCTTTACACGGCTGAAGTGGATTTCATTCTTCCAGGTTCTTAATTGAGACTAGTCACATTCCAAGTGCTCATTAGCCCCCTTTGCTGGTAGCCACCTCACTGGACAGAGCAGCTCAGAGCAAAGGCCGCTACCAATTACAGCTGTCTCACGGAGACATGCAGAAGCCTGGGTATCCCCACCAGCGATGGACACTAGATTCAAAATTTAAAAACCTAGTTATGTAAACCCATTCTGTGTCCCAGAAAGCAGCCCTCCTCTCTCCCTGACACACACAAGCACACAGCAGGGTGAACCTTCCCAGCACACAGCCCTTTCTAGCCATCTGGGCAGGACCCATGGCCATAAGCCAGCCCCGTAGGGGAACACGTGGAACCCAGATGCTGTGCATCCATCCAGAACTCAGCCTGCCCCACCCATAAGCTCTGGTTGCAGGGATTAACTGCTAACTATGCTGGTGACCTCCTGCAGCCAAGCCCACCCTCCCGGAGGCTGGTCCGGAAGCTCCAGCTGCCTAAACCGCTTTGGCAGGGAGGTCATGCCAGCAACCAGCTGCTCTGACCCTAAGTCCTGGTGTCATCATTGTTACCAATTACAATAATATCCTTCACTACTATGTATTAAGTATTTATTGTAGTCCAGGCACTGAGTTAAAAGTCTTTCCAGAACTAATCTCAACTAATCCCCACAACAACCCTGTGAATTAGGGATTAGGATTAAATTTAGGAGCACTGACTTTAGAGCAGGTTGGATCTGAGTCCTGGCTCAGTGCTATGTGAATTGGACAGGTTACTTTCATCTCTCCATGCCGCAATTTCTCCACCCGTAGAAAGGGAAAAAATAATAGCTCTACTTCACCTACTACTAGGTCCGCTAGCACTTAGAAAAGTATCAGTCAGAGTGGTAAGCATTTAACAAACATTAGCTGGTTTCAGTTCTGTAATCACATCTATTTTGCCAATGAGAAAACTGAGATGTTTAACAACTTGACCACAGTTACCTAATGTCATGAGCAAGCTATGTCAGAAACATAGAGGGACACACCTGGGCCTTTCTGCAGTGTCACAATTTATTGAATAGCAATCAATTCAGAGCCATACCAATTTTATTGTCATTAGTTCACTAAATACTCCTGATTTCACTTGATAGTCATCATCCATTGGCAAGTAGCGTTTTTTTATTCCAATCTTAATTACTAACACTAGCTCCCAGATCACACATTATACTTTCCAACAATCGATAGGTTACAGAATGGGTTAAAGCAACTGTAGGGTTCCAGGAGGTCTTAACAAGGAAATAACCAAAGGTTTACATAGTTGCAAAGAAAGACACTGCAGGTAGTTAGATAAGATATTATTAACCTAAGAAACTTGCCACTGTTGTAGGCCTAGTCTTACCAAAACAGTGGCTTCAGGAGAAGTTTGTTCAAGGTACAGGGCTGGTTCCTAGATTACTGGGTCTGGATGAATGGCAATTTGAGGTTGGGGGAGTCAATTAAGCAGTGGATCTTGCTTTTATATGATCTAGTGGAGAGAAGTGCATCATTGCTTGATCTCATGTGTCAGGTAAACTTCTGAGCCTGGTCCTTCTGATGTGGGTTTGATATACCATGCATCCATATTTTCTTGATGTCAATTGATAAGTTCATAGATGGTAATTTTATTTGCATAATTAAGTTACTGAGCAATCTGTCCCATGCTTTGTGCTGGACAGATGGTAGTTGTTTACATGCACAAAGAAGACCAAGAGTTACTCTGCTTCAGCATTTTTACCATAAAAAAGTAGCAAATTACTATTTTGTAAAATGGAGTCCCTTAGGGCAAAACACCCAGCCTGAACACTGTGGAGAAGCTCTGGAGCAGGGCTCTGCCCGATCTTCTTGCTTAACAAATACGCAGTGGTGGTATTTGGAGTCAAGTGCCCTGAAGTGCTATTTACTAAGCCGCACTGAGTTATTCCTGACCAGGCTATGTCTACCTGCCATCTATGGCTACACCCAGCAGCCTCTTGGGACCCTGGCATCCAAGGGAAGCTGGACTGCAGTGTCATTCTTGTCAGCCTCGGGGTGCTGAGGGCCCACTCCTACCTAACACCTCTACACCACTCAGGCAAGGGTTGTTATGTGGTCTGTTCCCAGCGGGGAACGGCGTGTCTGGACAGATCTACAGATGTTCTGAACACCCATTTCCTTCTTCTGTTTATTACACTTCTACTTAGCCTGGGTTTTGAGCTTAGGACCTGGGTGCTGCTCCTGAGCTTTTTCACTCAAGGCTGTTGGTGCTCTACCACTTGAGCCATATCTCTACTTCTGGGTAATTAGAGGCAAGCGTCTCATGGACTTCCCTGTTTGGGATTGGCTTTGAACCGTGACCCTCAGATCTCAGCCGCCTGAGTAGCTAGGATTACAGGTGTGAGCCAAGGGATGTTCCGTTCATTTGAAGATCAATAATCCCCCCTCAACAGGAGCCACTCCTTCCAGGGTAGCTGGACACTAAGCTTGGGGTCCTGCCAGGTTCATGGCAGCAGTAACTGCCCAAGAAGTGTTCTCAGAGTGCCTGCCACTCTCTCCCAAGAAGTGCTGCTGGGCAAAGAGGGTCTGGCAGATGAGCGGTCAGGAAGGGTACCCTTCTGCTCTGTCCATGCAGCAGATCTGATGTCACCTGAGCCCCATATTCTACAGCTCCAGGCATAAGCCATGGTCAACGCTATAACAACACCCACTGATGGGCCTCAGCAGGTAAAGTTCAAAGTATGAGGAATCCTGCAAGCCAGACAAGGCTGTGATTTCAATAAGAAAAACCTGTAAGGAAAAATGGAGCACAAGACAGAGAAATAGAGGGTGTTGACAAATGAAAAGAGTCATACGGAGTTGGGTACTAGTGGTTCATACCTACACAGGAGGCTAAGATCTGAGGATCATTGTTCAAAGTCAACTCCCCAGCAAGAAAATCTTTGAAACACTTATCTTCTAGTCAACAACTAAAAAGCCAGAAGTGGAATTGTGGCTCAAGTGGTAGAGCACTAGTCTTGAGTTCAAAAGCTAAGGGATAGAGCCAGACTCTGAGTTCAAGCCCAGCACCAGCATGCGCACGCGCACATGTACATACACAAGTCATATGGACCCTTGCAATGTACAGATTCCATTTGGATCCTGGCTCCTTTTGTTTTTCTTCCCCATAACGGCTTTCTTATTCTAATTTTTAGCTGTGTTTTTAACTGACACATAAAAATCTAAAAACAATACACATTATTGTGGTATTTTACATTACACAATACAGCACACAGACATTTCAACCATTCTAAACATATCTAGCCCCTCAAACATTTATTTCTTTTTATTTACTTATTTCTATTTTTTATTTTTGATTGCTATTATAAAGGTGATGTGCAGAGGGTTTAGAGTTACATAAATCAGGTAAAGAGTACATTTCTTTTTGGGAAGTGTCACTCTTTCTCTTGCTGTCTCCGTTTTTCCCTCCCATCCTCACCCACCTCACCTCAACCTAGTGTCTAGTGAGTACCACTGCTGCGTTTGTTCACCCTTTGTCCCTTCATTTCTGTGCCTCCCCGTATCCTCCCAAAGACAGATTAAATGAACAAATATGACAAAAAGAAACACAAAGGGGAAAAACCCTCTTGTTTCCATTTCCTGGAGTTCATTTTGATAAATATTATTTTAGACGATCAGAGCTGGTTCAGAGTTATAAACAGTGACAAGGCCGTCAGCACCTGGGAACACTGACTGACACGCGATGATTGACATACAGGCAAAAGGTGGTTCGTGAATGTCAGTGAGCCCTGTGCAGTTCACACCCCACACCCACAGGACAAGCCACAGCTCAGCACCACCCCACCTTCTGCCTACCTAGCAGAGGTGGCCTGGCCAATTCAATCACACCGCACAATGCTGGCGCGAGTGCATGCACACATGTGCACACACACACACACACACACACACACACACACACTACCCTGCCTGGTGTTTGTTGTGCCCATCCAAGGCAAGCAGCCTTAGTTGGGGCCACACTGGAAACACTGTTTCCATCTCCCTCCCTCCACACCCCTTGGCCTTCAAGGGTGGGAAAACTGGCAGGCTTAAAGAGCTAGCATCTGCCCTGGGATAGAAAGATGGAGAAGAAGCCTTCAGCTCCTGTCCTATCTGCACCCATGTCAGCAGCTGAGCCGGAGCAAAGGGGACAGGATCTCAGGTCGAGCTCTGCCCCTTCCAACGGTCTCCGCCTCCACCTGTGCCTCAGGGTCCCCTCCACCACTCGGGGGAGGATGAGCAGGCCAGCAGGAGGCTCCATGGAGAGGATTTCAAGCAAGCTGGCCCCGTTGGAGAGAAGCGGGCCATGAGTTTCTGCTTTCTGCAGGCTGTACCCCATGTTGAACGAGGCAGGGCGGTGACGGGCAGGGAGGCCGGCTAGCCAGCCTCGGCTCCCATCCTGCCATTTGCCATTCTTGGTGCTCCATTCCAACACTTATTGGTTACACTGAGCTAGAGAAGAATGGAGCTGTCTACCAGGCCCTAGCTCTGAGGGCTCATAAGTCTTTCCTCCATGAGCCAGGAGGAGGAGGGGTGCCAGGCCTGGGAGGGGCAGAGAAAACGGGGGATAAGGTTGATGCCTGTGGTACATCAGAGCTTCTCCCAGCCTTCTCCCCTCTCTTGGAGAGAGGCACAATGGGTAGGGAGGAGCCGGAGGGTCACTGCAGAGACCGTGACCCCTCTGCCAGGATAGAGAGGGGAGCAGCTTCACAGGCTGAGGGGTGAAGGGAAAATGGTGGGGCTAAGAGGCCTCCCAGCCTCCCAGCCACCCTGAGCCTGTCTGTGTGTCTGTGCTTGGCTCAGGAGCTGAAGGACCTGGCAGCCCAAGTGAAGGACGTGTCGGTGACTGTCGATCTGGACAGCCGCTGCCACATCGACCTGAGCGGCATCGTGGAGGAGGTGAAGGCCCAGTACGACGCCATCGCGGCTCGCAGCCTGGAGGAGGCCGAGGCGTACTCCCGGAGCCAGGTACAGGGCTGGCTCGGAGCGTGGATGGCCCTGGCGGGGGCCACAGAACAACTGGAGAGACTGCAGTTCCCTGTTGTGAGATTCATCACTGGGGGACTGGGGAGGCCCGGGACAAGGAAGGGACCACAGCCGTTGACCTTTAGGTGACCTTGAGGAAAGTGAGCACCTGATGGCTAAAGGGAAGCCACAGTGTGTCTCCTTCAGATTTCCATAGTGCCGTCACCGAGGCCAGATGTGGGCAGAGATATGGGGCTTGCCCGTGGCTGCTATCCAGAGGGACAGGGCGGGCAGAGGGGAGAGGGAGGAAGATCCAGGTGGGACTGCAAAGGAGATAGGAAAAGTTTGTGGAAAGAAGGGGCTGGGAAGAGGGTCAGGAGCTGCTGGAAGGGCTGCCATGAGCCACCCCTCACCATGGCCTCCTCCTCAATCCTCCAGCTGGAGGAGCGGGTGGCCCGCTCCGCGGAGTTCGGGAACAGCCTCCAGAGCAGCCGCTGCGAGATCGCCGATCTCAACGTGCGGATCCAGAAGCTGCGCTCCCAGATCCTCTCCATTAAGAGCCACGTGAGTGACCACAGCAGCCACGGGGGCAGCCACGGGGGCAGGCAGAGAGCTCACACCTGCACACACGAGTACACACACCTGGTCCAGGGTGCTGAATACCCCAATTCACCTGTGTCTCTGTTTCCTGAACCACCACATGGCAGAAAAGCAGAGCTGGCTGAGACTGTGGGGAACAAGGATCGTGTGAGCAAACTGGCCAGGGTTGCTGGAATCCCTCTCTCTTACACACACACATATATGCACACACCAGGCACACTCAGAGGCCTGGCCTCCAGTCTAACCCTCCACACACTGCCCATCCCCCTGCCCAGCTACAAGAGAGAAGGAAGTCTGAGAACTAAGTCTCAGCCAAGACAAGACTTTAGAGCAAAGGCTGCTTTAGGAGCACAACTAGACTTCCCTCTCACCTTAGGAAAGTATCTCTTTAGGTCTAACTGAACTCCCTCTTGCTGCATGGCAATCCATTACCACACCCACCTCTCCTCCACACATAAACACACATTACCAGGTACAAACTGCTGGCCCTGGCCTGGTCTCCTCCCTCCCTCCCTCCCTCCCATGACCTCCGTCCCTTTGACCTTCTGACTACAGTGTCTGAAGCTGGAGGAGAATATCAAGGCAGCAGAGGAGCAGGGTGAGCTGGCCTTCCAAGATGCCAAGGGCAAGCTGGCAGAGCTGGAGGCCGCCCTGCAGCGGACCAAGCAGGACATGGCACGGCAGCTGCGCGAGTACCAGGAGCTCATGAACACCAAGCTGGCGCTGGACATCGAGATCGCCACCTACCGCAAGCTGGTGGAGGGCGAGGAGAGCCGGTAAGGGGGCGGGAGATGAAGGGAGGGTGTGCGGAGAGCGGAAGGGTTGGAGGTCCAAGCTCACCCAGAGTCTGCCTTCTGTCTGGGGGGTACAACACAGTGAACCTGGCACACCTTCCTGCCAGATGTGGCTCAGCCACTTACTGGAGTTTTGGCTTTTGTTTTTATAGTCTCAGTTTCAGCATCTGGAAGAGGGGCTGATTGCAAATACGGCTCACCTGTGGTAGGAAAGCCATATACACACACCTGCCTGAAACAAGTCCTGAATAATGTTAGTTCCTTTCTGCAGAGATAAGAAGGGACAGAGGCAAAGAAAGCTGCCTATAGTCTTGGCCACACTGTAGTACCACTGCAGGGCTAGAACTGATGACCAAGAATCACCTGTCACTCGCTAGACTCCCACAAACCCCCATCCCAAAGTTGCTAAAGTCACAGGCTCCCTATACATTGTCCATGTTTCCACCCCCTCCTCCCCCAGGATGGACCTGCCCTCAGCCACTGTGATCAGCACCGTGCAGTCTGTACAATCCAGAGCCACATCCGGTGAGTTACCTGCCCAGGAACTGATGCTAGGGAGGGGCCTGGGGTTCATAGGGGTTCATGACCTCAAAGCATTTAAGTGGCTGTCAATACTCTAACACCTCTTCCCCACCTCTTGTGTCCCCTGTAGCTGCCTCCAAGTCCAGCTTCTCCAGATCCCCATCCAGGAAGAAGAAGACCCACAGAGGCCCCGTGATCCAAATTACAGAAATGTCAGAGAAGTACCTCTCACAGGAGTCGGAGGCCTCCGAATGATAAGGCAGCTGGACCCCCCAGGAACCCCACTGCAGCAGGAGGGACTTAAGCTAGACTCCAGAAAATGGCTCTGAGCTTCCACGTTGGGTAGGGAGACGAAATCTGATACTGAACTAAAGAAGGGTTCTAACTGGAGACCCCCCCTATTTGTAGGTGGCCAGAAGTAGGGAGCACCACCAGCTTCACTCCCAGTCAGTGTCTCGATCTCTCCTTTCAACCTTCTGGCAAGAGGTGTTCCTGGCTGGATAAACGGGGACTGGGGGTCAGTCTCTGTCCACCTCCTCCCAGCCTCCTCCTCCCACATAGGGCTCTGACCCAGGTGCTTTGACTCTTTTGCCCAATGCTTGCCCTGAACTACTATCTTAAGCCTCACTCTGCCTCTGCCCAGTGGTCTGAGGCCAAGGCCCTCAATTCCCGCCCAGGCCATGAGCTGAGCTGAAGCCGACACTCAGAGTCTATCTCATACCTAGAATTCTTGGGGATCTGGGGACTGAGGACTCCCTAGCTTTCCTGAACTTGGGCCCTCCAGATATCTGACAGTATTAGGGGGTCAGGAGAAAAGAGGCCTGGGTGTCTGAGGCCTGAGCATAGGCCTCAGGTCAACCCAGACACCCACCTGCACCCTGCTCTCCTCCTGTGGGCCCCTCCCAGGAGATCTCAGTCAGAACTGGAAAGGTTTCCACACCACCACCACCCCCAACCAGCTCCTCAGAACCTTTTAGAAGCTACTCTGGTTTCTATATGCTCACGAGTATGGGAAGCCAGATGGCAGTCTGAGAACAAGCAGGAGAACTGGCCTTCCCTTCATGACCTTGCCATTCTGGGGGTCGCGTCCCAGCTGGGGTTCTGGTGTCATGTCTCCAGCCTAGGCCTCTCTCATCCTTGGCCTGGTGCTGCAGGCCCTGGCCATCCCTTAGCCCACCCTGCCAGGAAACCCCAGGCCCATTGCCCTTGCACCCCATTTTCCAGGGCCTTTCTTTTACATATCCTAGAGACCCAGGACATCTTATCCTGTAGACTTCCCTCTTTTCTTCCCCTTCTGGCCCCTTCCGCCCTCCCAGGCTCCAGGAGGCCATGAAGAAGGCGCAGTCCAGCAGGTCTGAGAGCTTCTGAGCCCCTGAGCTGGGCTAGGGAGCCCCAGGGCAGTCTTAAAGGGACTCAATCCCACAAAGACAAACTGCATCCAACAAGAAAATCTGGCAGCCAAGTTCCTGTTGTTTTTTTCCTCTTGGCCCTCACCGCTGAGCTTTTAAAGAGTGACCAAACAGCGCCAGCCTCCCACCCCACAAGCCACCTTCTCTCCTGTCTCCTCCACTTCCTGTCTGATCCTTTCATCTCATTTTCTAGGACAGGGTATCCTAAGGCCTTAGCCCTCCAGACCTGCAGGGGGCGCTAATGGGCAGCAGACACAGCCATATAATTCCATATGACTCATCCTTGAAGTCCCCCCAAAGGGTACTTAATTGCTGCTTTCTCTCTCACCTCTCCCTCCCCCTCTCTCTATCTTTCTCTATCTCTCTCTATCTCTTGGGGCTATTTATTGGTTTCCATAGGAGCAAATCCTCAGTGGGAATATGAAATATAGAAAGTATATGTTATTTTTTCATAACTTATGTGGCTTTTAACTTATTGCTTCCCTTCCTGTTTCTGCATGATCCATGCTGTATGTAATATCTGGATTCTAGAGAACACATACCCCAGCCACGTCGTGCATGACAGGCTGACCCCTCGGGGAAGTAGTGCCCCTTCTCCCTGCCAAGGGGCAAATAAAGTATTGTGATTTGTCTATGGATAAAGTTGTGTGTCTGTCTTCATCTCTCTTGGGATGGGTCTAGTCAAGTTGGTCACTGCACATTACGAACTCTCCATTTTGAGGGGAAAGAAGTGCAGAGACCTGGCTGTGTCTTCAGTCCAGTATCTTATCAGGCTCCAGACAGACTCAAACAACCTTGATCCGAGTTCCTGGGGCCTCCTGACGTGTGCAGGCTGCACATAGGCCACTTCAGTGGCACACAGGGGGATTTCCCGGCCGGTGACAGGGTTTTCTCCCCAGCATTCTGCCCAGCCTTGGGGTTGGCAAAGCCCAGCATGTATTTGGATAGGTACAGGCCTAATCCTGTCCAATCAAACTCAACATCAATAAATAAGGATCAAAGGCCTTCTGCAAGCCCTGCCCTGTGCCCCCCCCCCCACTGCAGGAACCCAAAGTGAGGCTCTGAGATTGGAGAGCTCTCACGGATGGATGGATGACAGGTTGGAGAAGGGAAACCTGATAGGGCTGGGTTTGGCATAGCTACCTAGCACTATGCGATCTGGGGCCTACAGAGCCTCTATTTCACCCTTGGGGGCTATGGATAGAGCATGCAGCCCTCCCACCTGCCTCAGAGGTATCTGGGGGATCTGATGAGAGAGCTGTGGTCGTCCTTATCGGGAATGCCACATCTCTGGCTACTGGCATTATGCCCAGCTCAACCAGTATGCAGATGATGTCATTACTCTTAGATGTTCAGGATTACAGACAATTTACTAGTCATGTGGTTCAAGCACCAGAGATAGCCCCAGGCTGGATTACTAAGGGCACAGCACAACCAAGCCCCACCGAAGTTCACAGCCTCCCATTTGTCCCTTCTCCTGGGGATCCTGACCTCTGTCCTCAAAATGCAGGACAGAAGGCCTGATAAGCCATATGCCCACCCCAGAGAGCTGCAACATAGAGAAATTTGTTACCTTCTTTTCTATTTTATTAAGTTCTGAGTATCTGATTTTCTGAAACATATGTTCATATCAAAACACTTTGTTCTGCATTTGTTATTCCTTCCTTCTACTTTCCTTGAGTCTTTGAATTAAATAGTTTTCCAACTTTACTATTTTTTTTTCGCTGTACAGGTACTGACTCCTAGGGCTATGCCCAGGCTAGGTAAATGCTGTGCCACTTGAACCACAAGCCCAGTCCTTTAGTTTTTGGATTTTGCTTCTGAAAATAGTCTTGTTACCTGGGATGGCCTTTTGATCCTCTTATCTCTACCTCCTGAGAATCTAGCTTTGTAGGCATGAGCCACAACACTCAGCTCATTTCTCAATTCTTGAGTTGAATGCTTCCATTCTGCTCCTCTTTTCCAATGTAAGTTTCTTTGGAGATCATATAAGTATCATTTTGACTGCTTTCTATCATTTGTAGCATTTTTATTATATGGTTAAAATGATGCTATTATTTGACTCATAGTTCTTTTAAATTACCATATTAACTGTACAAAGGGGCTTACCATGACATTTCCATCCATACATATAATCTACTTTGATCAAACTCACCCCCTCTATTACTTTTTTTACCCCTCTCCTCTGGCTTTTGACTCATAAGTTCTTGAGAAATTTGTAACCCACATGTGGGTCATCCCTTTGACAAGCATTTATTGAGCACATACTTGCACATACCATACTCAACCAACCTCTTACTTCAGAATTCAGCTCCCTACTGAAGCAGGCCTTGCCTGGGCTGGATATAAACCTACTCATCACAGGGACCGGGCCCAGCAGGTGTCCTGTGTGTGGTCAGTAGTTGCTAGGTGCTGGATAAATGAGTGAACAGAGGAAAGGGCGTAAGGTACAACCATCTCAGAGTATGTTCTGAGCCTCTGCTCTGTGCTGTTTCCTGGGATGGGTACAGTGGGGGGAGAGCCCGATGAGGGGCAGTGAAGGGCAAAATGGGTCCTTACCTTCAAGGGGTGCTGGCCTAGTGCTACCCCAGCTCGTGGTCCCTGTTGTTCCCAAATCCTTTAGTTGTGATTGGCTGATGCACCTATGGCAGTTCTAATCACCCTGCAGATGCTTCCAGACCACACAGGGAGGGTAAAGAGGCCAAGACCTATCTGTGTCCTTGAGCAGAATCTTCAATTGGGGCCTGGAACCCCATTGACCCAGGCAGATTCAACAGGGAAATCACAGAGATCTTGTTAACTTTACACCTACGCAGGATCCTTACAAGCAAGCAGAAGCCAGCACCAGTAGCTTACACCTGTAATCCTAGCTATTCAGGAGACCAGAGTTCAAGCCTAATACTGTCACACAGACAAAACAAAAGTGAGGAAGGGAAATGAGAAAAACAGCAGAAGAACTTCTGGTCTGCTGAGACAGAGGGTTAGGCAGGACCAGGAGATACACAGAAGACTGCAAGCTAGTGGGAGCTAGCTGTCAAGGGTCCAAGGAAGGCAATGTTTTAGAATTTGCTAGAACCTAGGCTAGGAAAGGGTGGTTCCCAGAGCCCTTCCCAGGCTCGAATCTTCACATGCTTGAAGTCCTAAGTGTTCCAGGCTAGGACATTTGGGAACACGAAGTCCGTAACTCTAGTCCCCAGTATGGTGTCCTGTCTCCCACCCTGTGAATTCATTGGGCTCCTCAGGAGGCAGCAGAAATAGCCACTGGGACTCATGGAAAACCCTGGCTCTGAGTGATCTCAGGCACCCTTTGTGGGGAAGCTTTTCAGAGATAATGCATGATAATAATAATAATAATAATAATAATAATAAGAAGAAGAAGAAGAAGAAGAAGAAGAAGAAGAAGAAGAAGAAGAAGAAGAAGAAAGAAAGAAAGAATTTAACACCATACCAGGCACAAAGTGAGTGCTGAATATAGATAACAGCAAACACACTCCTCATCCGCATTGAAAGGGAAGGCACCTAGCACAGGTAGCCTCACTTTGGGAGTGGTTAAGCCCCACCCATCAGTCCCACCTTCTCCCTCCTCCCCTGCTGTAGCCCAAGCTTGGGAATCTGTGATAGACAGCTGAGGATTAAAGAAGGCAAGTATGTGGCCCAGCCTTTCTACTTCCTTTTCAGTACTGATTGACCGCCGCCCAGACCCCATTCCACTGGGGAAAGCTCAGTACTGCCCTACCAGCCTACACCACAGCCGCCACTGCCCTCTGCTGGCCACAGCAGGACCAGCAATTCCCATGGTGGGGAAGGAGGAGAAGTAGGAAGAAGGAAAGCTGGTAGAAGCTGTTCTTAGTGCTGAACTCAGGTCTCTGATTCCTCTGATTCTCAAGCCTCAACCTTCAGAGACCCCCAGAGCTGAGCCTTGGTACTGAGTCCTCCCTCTCCTCCCCTTGCCCCTACCCTAGCCACCTTCCACTGAGGGGACACCACAGCCCACAGCCCTCACCCCATCCCCACTCTCATTGCTCCCCCACCACCACTGCTTCCTTCTCATCGTTCAACTCTAAATCCACGGCAGGACCCACAGAAGCCTTTTCTGAACGTCTGTCTAATGGGAATCATACTTCCAGTAGCTTATCCCTATCAGGGTGCATGCTGTGTGACCCCAGTTCTCCTTTTTCTGGTGTGTGAGTGGACATGTAATCAGAGAAAGAGAAACCACACTAGGGCCTTATTGCACAGGCAAAAAGACCAGTCTTCAGGCCAGGAGCCAGTCAGGATCCAGGGGCCCGGTTCTTGGATTTGAAGGCAGGGGCCAGGAGCTGGGGGAGACTCTTTCTTTCACTGGGAACCTTTGGGCAATTGCTCTAGCCACGTGGCCAAGTTTCTCATGGTCTCCAGAAGGTTGGCACAGGTGCCCCAGACAGACATATGTGACGCTGCCAGTCCCCTGCCCCAGTCTCTGTTCAGAAACAATAGGCGCTGGACTTGGAGGTACAGTACCTGCTTAAGGAGCGCCAGGCCCAAACAAAACAAAAACAATAGGTGCCTCCTCTCATCTGCTGGCCTTCTTGTGTCCATGCACGTGTGTGTGTGTGTGTGTGTGTGTGTGTGTGTGTGTGTGTGTGTGTGTGCATGCGTGCATGTGTGTATGCCAGTCCTGGGGCTTGAACTTAGGACCTAGGCACTGTCCCTGAGCACTTTTGCTCAAGGCTAGTGTTCTGCCACTTGAGCCATAGCTCCACTTCTAGCTTTTTGGTGGTTAATTGGAGATAAGAGTCTCATGGACTTTCCTGCCTGGGCTGGCTTTGAACCATGATCCTCACATCTCAGCCTCCTGAGTAGCTAGGATGACAGGTGATTGGTCTGCCATCTCACATTTTTATTTTTTTCAAGGAGAAACTTAGCCTTTCACATTCCCACTAGGGCATGTGGATTTGGTAGATGTCACCAGAACCACTCAACTTCCATTTTATAAGCAAAATGGCGCTTGAACACTTATCCTCCCTCCCAGCCTGGCCCCACAGGAAATACCAGCATCACACAGCTGCACTGAAGTCAAACCACCCCCCTCATTTGAAGTTCCAACCATGAAGAGTGGTGACCCTCTTGAACACATCCCAGATTCAAATGGTAAACACTCATTGATACCTGCAATGTACTGGGAAGGCATCAGTGAACAAATGAAAGAGAAGACAGGAAAGAAAGGTAGTGGTGTAAAAGATGGAGCAGACCAGATGGCAAGAAGTGCTGGGAAGAAGCCAGGCACGAGCCACTCAGCTACTTAGGATGCTGCAATCTGAGGATCTCTGTTTGAAACCAGCCCAGGTAGGAAAGTCTCTCAGACTTGTATCGCCAACCAATCACCCAAAAGCCTGAAGTGGAACTGTGGCTCAAGTGGTAGAGTGCCAACCTTGAGTGTAAAAGCTAAAGGGGCAGCACCCAGACCCAGAGTTCAAGCCCCAGGAGTAGCACAAACAAAGTACTAGGGGAAAAAGGAATGGGGTAGAGGAGTCACCTCATAGGAAGAGCAGGGGACAGGTCAGCAAAAACCAGCAACAGGGAAAGAGCCAGCCT